TTTTCAACCAATAGGAGCGTCTTTTGCTGTCCCTGTTGCCCGCCCACATTGCGAGGGTGATGAAGGCAGAGATCATTCAGAGACTGAAGGGGCCTAACTTTGGCCAGGCGGAAAACACCAACAATTTTCACAACCTCTATGTACAGAGACACACCAATGTAAGGTAGGACTTGTGACACACATACTAGCATATCCATGCGCTCAGCTGATTTATTTTAGGCAGCCTAGAAAATATATACATATCCTATACACCGCACCTGCTCTTCGCCGAGCTGTCATACCCTCAGTAGATCCTGTCAAACCTGCCTGCCCTCCTTCAGTCTTCACACAAAAAAAACAAGCTATTCATCAACCTAGATATATGTAGCTCTCTTTTAAAAGTGCCTAGACACCTTTGTATGCTTCTATTAAAAGTAAAAACAAACACAATCTTCAGCTAAATAGGGCAAACTGTTGAAGAGGCTTTTCATCAAAATGCATTTAATTTAGTTCATTGCATTGAAGGACAAGTAGTTTTCTGTTTTGGAAGCAATATTGCTTTCTACTTCAATATCCTTTTGATCTGTGAGGTTGATTGTTGCTCTGCTCGTTCTCAGTGAAAGTGAAGGAAAAAGCGAAGAATATTTTCTTGGCATCTACGTAATGTTCTGTATCTCTAATTCATGATGGATTTCACAGAGCATCTTCCAGGGCAGGCTGTGCACTGTTACTGAAGGATATTGGCAGTATTAGAGGCATGTTTCAGGTTCAGCCAAAGTTAAGTTGGATAGCATTTGTGGCATAATGTCAATTACCATAGAAAATATTTTTATTAATATTATTTATTCAACAGTTCTGGTCCTCAAATTTGATCAACCAAGCAGCATTCCAAGAGCACTGATATACAGTCCAACAGCACTTTTAACAGTTTGTATCACTTTGTTTATCTGTGTTTGTTCCAAACAGACAGCCAGTCTGTTAGTGGTGGGGATTTTTAGTTACTCTTTCTGAATTTTACATTGATACACCTGTAGGTGGCGACAAGTCAATGACTTTGACATTGAATCATTAAGTTGAACCAATTCATTGAAAAAAACAGATTCATTCAGAAGCAAAATAAGTTACTCTCTTTGTGAGTGAGTTATGGAATCATTCACTGATCCATTTATTGAAAAACAGATTCATACAGGAATTAAACAAGTTAATATTTTTATGAGTAAGACATTGAATAATTAATTCAACTATTAATTGAAAAACACAGATTCATTTGGGAATTAAACGAGTTACTCTCTTTCTGAGTGAGTTGAATAATTCACTCAACGATTCATTGAAAAACGCAGATTTATTCAGGAATGAAACGAGTTACTCTTTTTTTTTATGAATGAGTTGTTGAATAAGTCACCCAATGATTAATTGAAAAGCCAACACGTTCTCTCTCCCATCTTGTCACATATTGATGCTTGGTCAGGACCCCTTGGCGTCACTTTTTAGCACACAGGGTACCCCTTTTGTGTCACTTTTCCATGTGCAAGGTACTCCGTTGCTTTCAGTTGTATGCCTTATGCATCATATCAAGACACATTTAATTCTTTGCATGCATTTGTAAAAATAGAAATCATTTTAAATACATTTATAGTTTAATAGATATTTGAGCACCTAACCCCACCTCTACCCTAAACCTACCCATTTCTCAACAATATAAAACACGTAACAGGCAAATAAAAGTACAGTCACAGGTATTTATTGCAAAAACTGACCAAAAAAGCAGTATTAGAGTATCACAAACAAGTTGTGTTGCATTCCGAGTCTTCTGAAGCCATACAATATCTTTAAGAGAAGAATAGGTTAGAGCATAAGGTTTTAATCACTGAAAATAATCCCACTCTGTTACGGTTCTTCTGGCGGCAATTTTTGGATTTATACACAGATGGCGGATGGAGATGGTGATCGTTTCTGTTACTCTTACAAATCGATTGTTTTGCCTCGGAAGACGTGGAATATTAATACTTCTTGAAAAAATTGTGACTTTAGTTGTATCTGCCTGTTATATCCTGTGTTTTATATTGACAAATGGTTAGGTTTAGGGTAGGGGTTGGGTTACATGCTCAAAAATCTGTAAATAGTGTTATGTCAATTAAATTGTTGTGACTGTTTAAATTGAAAATCACACCCCAACATATATGTAATGGTAGCAAAATTATTACCCAATATATAAATTAATCATAACGATAAAATTCTCATGCCCTTCGCATCTGCGTATTGACGTTTCTTATTTAAAGCAACGGAGTACCCTGCACGTCGAAAAAATTACGCTAAATGGGTACCCTGTGCGTTAAAAAGTGACACCAAAGGGTCCTGACCAAAAGAGTTTGCAGTGAGAATGTGTTGGAAAAACACTGATTCATTCAGGAATTAAACCAGTTACTCTTTTTTATGTGTGAGCCATTAAATAATTTACTCAGCAATTTATTGAGAAACAGATTTATTCATAAATAAAACAAGTTACTCTCTTTATGAGTGAGTCATTGAATAATTTACTTATCCATTTCATTCAAAAACACAGATTTATTAAAGAACTAAACAAGTTTCTCCTATGGGTGAGTCGTTGAATCATTTACTCATCCAATTCATTCAAAAATATAGATTAATTCAGGAGCTAAAGAAGTGATTGTGAGTCATTGAATCTTTCACTCGAGTCAATAATTAATTCAGTAACACCACTACTGAGTGTTGCTCAGAGATGCAAGAGCTGATTCTCCTGTGGCTTTGTTTAGAACTGTTTCCTTTGGCTGAGAAAAATAGACAAAATAACTCTCAATATTATACTAAAATGCAACTACATTTTTAGTTTGTTGAACTGCTGTATAAGTGCAGTATCACAAAATCATGCTGTTGGTCTAAATATCAGCACGGCCGTGTTTTAAAGGATGTTTCAGTACTGGAAAACAAGAAAAATGCTTATTCAGAAAATAATTATTTGCAAGGTGTGCATTAATTGCAGTGCAAAAGCATAATTTCGTACTTTTTACCAGTTTGCATAACTCTCCTTTTCTAGAACATTTTAATATTTTCCCACAGCATTCTGTATGCAGACATTGTTGGATTCACGCGTCTGGCCAGTGATTGTTCGCCTGGAGAATTGGTCTACATGCTCAATGAGCTTTTCGGCAAATTTGACCAGATAGCCAAGGTATCATATGTCCTAAAAGGCATGAGATATAGCCCCTGTGACAACTAGACCCAGTCTCTGACATACCTTCACCCTGATATGTTGATTTGATATTAATATTTTTTTCCTGTATAGAATATCATGTCTACTACACCTGCTGTCTTGATGGTTTGTTTGATGCAGGATAACGACTGCATGCGGATCAAGATCCTGGGCGACTGCTATTACTGTGTGTCAGGGCTGCCAGACCCTCTGACTGATCACGCCAAGGACTGTGTGAAGATGGGGCTGGACATGTGTGAGGCCATCAAGTAAAAGAGCACGCTGTCTTTCTAGATTTTAGATTATAATTGGTCCATCACAGCAATCTGCAGTAAAATAGTTTTGCATAATAACCACTAAACTGTATAATTGACCTATGTCACAGGAAATTTCAGTTTCCTACATAGCTGTGGTAGTTTAAATGTCTGTGCAAACACAGTGTAAAATTCAGTCTTAATGGCCATTTTAACCTAAATATAATTGGCTTACAATGCCGTATGGTTGCCTGAGGTTGCCAGCCTGCGGGACACCTGCTGGGCGTCCCATAAGCCAGTGCCTATCAGGATTTATTTTGAGATAATGACCAGCTGATTGTACATTATCCATTTTCCATTTCTTCATTAGAACAAAAAGACCCCTAGAGTTATATCTGCTTCAAAGTCCTAAAATCATTACACATGAGCTGTTTGTCACATTACACCCTTTCATCATCTACAAAACACCATTTCTGTGTCCTTTTTTCCCCCATGTTGTCTGTCTTTTCAAGCACTACTCTCAGAGGCTGAAATAACCCTCATACTCATGAGGCTCAGATGTGTGATATTGTTGAAACCCACACATTCTCCTTTTCGTCTCTTTCTCCATCTCAAAGTGCAGCCCCTTTTTCCAGTCCCTTTCACGATTCCTCACCCATTCTTCATTCTTCCGCTCTTCTGCCACACATTTGCTTTCCGTTACACTACTGCAATCTTTTTCTTTTACACACACACAAATCCATTTTAGGGGGTAATTGAGAACCCTCCAGTGTATTTTCCAACATGACATAGCTCAGGCTGAGGGGCTCCTAGAAATAAGAATGGTGTGTGACAGATACAATGGAATGATCTGTGAGAGAAACGAACACTCCCCCAGGGGTGCCATGTACCTTTTTTGGTTTGTTTGTTTTTTTGAGGCAGCACCAGTGGCTGGTCTGGTTTTGTTTTGTATTGTTTTGTTTTGTTTTTGAGGGAGCACCAGTGGCTGTTTTTTGTTTTCTTTTATTTGAGGGAGCACCAGTGGCTGCTTTTTGTTTTGTTTTGAGGAAGCACCCGTGTTTTTTGCGTGTTTGTTTTTTGTTTTGTTTTGTTTTTGAGGGAGCACCAGTGGCTGTTTTTTGTTTTCTTTTATTTGAGGGAGCACCAGTGGCTGCTTTTTGTTTTGTTTTGAGGAAGCACCCATGTTTTTTGCGTGTTTGTTTTTTGTTTTGTTTTGTTTTGAGGGAGCACCAGTGGCTGCTTTTTGTTTTGTTTTGAGGAAGCACCCATGTTTTTTGCGTGTTTGTTTTTTGTTTTGTTTTGTTTTGTTTTGAGGGAGCACCAGTGGCTGCTTTTTTTTTTTATGAATCTATTCATTAGTCTGTTTGATGAGAAAAATATGAAATTGATAAAATGGGTTATTAATCCATACAACTGCAGCAGCAGAAGACTATTATTCTGCTGCGTGATACTGCTGAAGAACTGATGACTGCACGGTTTGATCTTCGGCTGCCCAACAGCAGAAAGGGGCGTTTAATTGCCATGCTTTTTGTTTTGTTTTGTTTTGTTTTGAGGGAGCACCAGTGGCTGCTTTTTGTTTTGTTTAGAGGGAGCACTAGTGGCTGCTTTTTGTTTTGTTTTGAGGGAGCACCAGTGGCTGCTTTTTGTTTTGTTTTGTTTTGTTTTGAGGGAGCACCAGTGGCTGCTTTTTGTTTTGTTTTGTTTTG